GCTGTAATGTCAACAAAGCAAAGGCAGCAAGAGATAGTAATGAGTCACAGAAATCCTCAGTTTGGGGCTGTACATTTATAGTCATATGTAAATGAACTACTACTACATTCTGGGAACCACCACAGAGAACCACTGCAACTGGCATGGGCTAATGAATACAGCCATAAAAGTATTTTGGAGCTGAATTTATAGCAGGGTACAGAAAAATAAAACACACTGTTATTTGTTCTAGACTGGGTTTAGTTAAGAACTTTTCTGGATCGTTTTAGAGTGATTAAAATAAACAGGCATTCTGGTTTCTATTTTTGTTCACAAGGAAGCTGCAAATGAACAAACAGGCTGGAGTAGGCACTCAGAATCTACTGGTCCTATAGTATCAGGGCAGAAGAGTTTTTCACTTTGGAGAACACATGCTTGGATCACTCTACTGCAAGAAACAAGTTTAAAGTAGTGGATTAGCATGAATTTAAGGTGAAAAACTTCCTATTTACTGTGTATCTTATAAGAATCAGTAGTACTCAGGCTAACAAAAAAAAATGTGTATGATCTGTTCTCCAAAGTGAAGAAAGAAACTGCAGGAAAGAGTTATTTAACATTTCTTGTTCTGCTGATGACATATGCATCATTCAGTTGAAATATGAGTTTGATTCACAATAACAAGATTCTTGAATGAAGAAATCTTTGATATAAGTTTCTGATTCAAGCCAAGATGTTTCACATCAGTCAAGACTATTTAAGACTGACATTTTGAAATTCACCTATTCAATCTCAAATTCCATCAGAATAAACTATTCCTCCAGATACAAAAATACAGTAGGGGTTGGGCTTGAATGTTGAGAACATTATGTATATTTAAGAAGTTGATTATTAGATCTTAATCTGAAAGTGGCACAGAGTTTGCCAGATCAATCCTTAACTTGATCCTTGCTTCTAAGGCAGCTCTGCAAACCGAAAATTTCTTTCACATTTGAAATAGGCAATTTTAAATTAATTCCTTCAGTAAACAATTACTCTGTAAAATTTATTCATATATGAATGTTGCTTATCAAAAAAAACTCCAAACATTTTTCTTTGACGCATCTGTGCAATCTTATCATATTTGACTTGTAATAGTAATGACAAGGGTTGACAAACACTAAAATCACATTGCAATGTATAATTGAGTCTTTTTTACCACATGTGTTGATTGTGGAACTCAGTGACGCGGCTCCGGGGGAAAGGCCGCCTTTCAATACTGCTGAAGCCACAGATGGTGTAGAAGACGCTGGAGTAGAAGCAGCTGCAGTAGAGGAGGCTGACGATGATGTTAACCGCTCTCCAGACTCCATATCTACAAGAGAGAAGATAAATGTGTGTCTTCTATGGCAGGAAATGGAATCACAAGGGGACTACTAGAGCATTTGTGCTGAGCCCGTCTCAGGATCTGCCCTTGACTCGAGACCTGCACACGAGGCCCAGGACATGAAGAGCACCCAGCCATCAGGGGAGGCCAGCACCCCCGCAGCAGCAGGGGAATTCAGCAGTGCTGCTGAGAGCTACATCACATTTCCACTGGAATACCCACAGCCTCACCTGGGACCACCCCACAGCCCCTCTGCTCCAGAGCTCCATCTTGGCGCTGGCTGGCACCTTCAGCCACTCTGGGCCCGCTCTGGCCCCGTGCCTCCTGGCTGGAGTTAGTTACAGCTTCCCGCCAGACCGGCATCAGCTCGGGTCTCCTAATCTCCCGACCGGGGACTGGCAGACACCTTCCTACCGTGGACCCGCGACCAGCACAGTGCTCAGACCCTGCGGGGCTGTGCCAGGGTCAGGAACCGCCTGCATCACCCCCGACTGCCAGCTCGTCCCTCCCTGCAGAGCAGCCCTGCCCTGGCTGCTCCCTGACAGACCCCAGCTTTACACAACCTGTCACGCATCCCAAAAAGTCCGTATCTGGTCTCTTAATTTAGGGAAAGACCCAGCAATTATGGTGATAAAGTATAAATATAAGAACTCCTAGAAGTTGCTAGCTACTTTTTTTTTTTTTCCCCCCTGGAGAGCTCTTAATATAAAATAAGGTATTTTTTTATGTGCCATGAATTGCCTAAATCAAAAGTTACCACAATTATTTCACTGAACAAGCACGTGTCTTTTAAGGAAAAAACAGTAAGATTATTATTAAAACTACTACTTGTTTAGAAGTAGTTTCTCAAATACTTAATAACTGCAACCAAGCAAATGATGTCTAAGCATAATGGTAGCAGAGTCAAAAGCCTATCTGACTCAATATGCCAGAACTGAGTGAGTCAGGATCAGAGTATAAATAAGGTGGGGAAGAAATCTTCACAGAGTCCCTTAATTATTGCAAAAGCAAACGAGACTAAGCACGGTTAATTCCCAACAGGGAAACTCCTGAGAAACCGGTTCCTGTCCTGCAGTCTCCTTCAGCCTGAGACAACACCCTTCTTGGAGCTATCGCTGAAATGTGAGGAGGCCAAGCACCAAGAAAGGCCAAGCACTAAGCCTACATCAAACAGTTGCTATAAAATCTCACTCCCAGTTTCTGTAGAACAGAATGCCAAGTACACAAGGGAGACACACTTTTCCAAATTCTGTTTTAATCAATTTATAAAATCGATGTGCTAAACAACACTTCTGATCCAAAGTTATGTTAGACAGCGACTTCCCAAATATTCATTTGGGAAGCCAGCATAAAAACTGTTATCTACTTCTCCAGAAAGATGCAGTATCCTTGGTTCCTCTCAGTCGGTAAAAATGAATCTTAAAAAGCCAAAGGAAATACAAATGCAGAAATCATGGAGAAACACGCAAAATACCTGAAAGATACACTGTGCCCATTTTAACTAAATAATTCATTCCTTATCACTAATAATTTGTGTGTGTGGCGATTTCTATGCACTGGATAAAGTCTCTAGACGTGGCTAGCTAGCAGAACCAGAGATAGTACTTTCCCAAAGTGAAAATTCTGCTAGCAAGGGAATTATAGCATACCATATAGAAGTGCCTATCCTTTACACAAACTGCAACCACCAGAAGACTTCACTACTTTTATTCTTTACAGCCCAATTTAACATATGTATTTTCATGCATGCAGATTTTTTTTTCTGTAAATAAAGAAAAATCAAATATTTACACTGATATGGTACAAAAAAGGATCTACTACTACACTGCATATGAAAGCTATATACTTTTCTTTCAGAACAATGGTAGAAATCACAAAAACTATTTCCTTCAGAGAATTTATCAAAGCATAATATAATTAAACATTTTACATTTTAAATTCAGGACTCCTAAATACACACTCTTCTCCAATTAAACATTTTCTATCCACAGTTAAAGAATACCTCATAGATTTTTAGTAATCTGCGAATGTAATTCAGATAAACTGCTATTAAGTGGAAGCAGGTCACTGGAAAATACAATATATACTTTAGACTTTAAACGTTCCATTATGTCCATTAAATTTTATAATTATTCCCAATGCTAATAATTAATAGATTAGTATTATGATTTAAATCTGTATCTACAGATTTGTCTGTAGCATTTGTAAACACATGAATTGACACTACAAAAAAATTACTATCTTTAGTACATACAGCAAGATCAATAGACATAAATTAATATAACAAAGCACATTTTTTTAAAGACCCTCTGAAGATTGAACTTAGGTGAGGCCAACAGGTAGTCCTTGTACAAAAACTGATCATTTTGTTTTATTTCAGTACTCATTGTTCTAAGTATGGCCACAATGAATTTACTGTATATAAGGATAGCAAAAGGTAAACTAGAAACACATTATAATGGTATTATTACAATAACCACTTGTAAAAGGGAAGTTATTTCTAAGCTTTAATGCACTGCATTCAAAAATTTAGGACTGAAACTTTGTATTTTACTTATGTTTCCTGACAAAAACATCCAGAACTCTCCTTTACTGACATGTTGTGTGTAATAATACAGCATTAAAGTAAGTCTCTACTATCTGATGTATTTTAGAAATAAGCACAGTTAAGAAGCACCGATAAGCAATCCATATTTCTGTCACAAATGGGAAGATATCCTTGATAAATCAGTATTTTTTTTAATACAGAAATGTAAATTTAGCTATATTTGCAAGCTTTTAACCGACATAAGCCATCTGTTTGAATTGGTAATACAGCATCAAATAAGAACTGGGAGAACAGTAATAAACTGCCCTCTCAAGGCTCCCTCCTTCCTCCCCCCCTCCACTCTTTTTGTTTCAGTTTGTGGGGAGGGTTGCATTTTCAACCTTCAATTCAGCTGCTTGTTTATGAAGCCACTAATAGAAAACTGGAATATTGGTATTTCTGAATGATTTTGAACTGAAGAAATTATATTCTTTTCCTAGAGACATACACAGTTTTGCTTTCAAACTAAGTCAACCCTTAATTATGTTTAGTTAATTACTCTAACCACAGCAGATGGCTGACTCCAAAAGAGATAATCCCCGAAACAGTCATTAGTCAGGATCAGCAATAATTATACTGTAGACCTAATGCGTTCTGTGACTAAAAAAGTCCATACCAGTTACAGCAGATCCATATTCTTTTTAGCCTCAAGTATAAATTAGACATTTGCTCCATTTTAGTGTATTTTGCCAGTTGATACTTGTGATGAACTTTCATGACTGCTTTTAAAACTCTCATGTTTGTAAGAAAAATTGAGTACGTAAAACTAGAAAAAAAATGACAAATTTTTACTTTCCAGGTGTAGTGATTTGTGCCAGCTCCTCTCAAGGCTTCCCTTGATTCCTCAAGGAATCCCATTCTCCCAGAATTTTCCATAGTGAATAATAATCATGCATGCAACTGAACCCAACAAAAACAGAAAGCAACCCCCCTCGTTAAAAAGGAACAAAGGGAAGTACATGCAGCTTTACACAAGGAAAATGTTGTCCCTTCCGAAAAAAGGGGAAAAAACTACTAATCTTTAATAAAAATAGGAACACTAAAAATAAGTAAAGGTTTACTAAAGAAAACAAATCATTCTCACATTTAATAAGGTGAAATTTCTTTAAATTACCAACTCCATGCTCAAACCTTTGCTGAAATGTATACTAACATAGAAAAAAAAATATTATTACTCTTAAAACAGGTTTTAACAACTCCCTTCACAGGGAGCAGGATGTAACAGCATCCTACCAATTTTAGTTTGGATGCATGAGTACTATAAAGTGGGTCTTGAAAAAATCTAAACAGTAGACTTACCTCCAACTTCCAGTTTAATCTCTACAGTCCCACGTATCGCTTCACTATTTCAATGATTGCCTCTAACAGTGAAAAAGAAGTTCAAAGTGCAGGGGTAAAAAATACACTTCTTCAATGACAAAGGGAAATTTGTAACAACTATTTGACAGCCAACTGGAGAAGAATCCCACAACATCTGGTGATCTCTTGCATTACAGCAAGGTATTTAATCGCACTGTATCATATTATTGCCAGTCCATGACTATTTCTTGAGTCAATATGAGCGCTCTAATGCTGAAGATCTTACAGCTGCTGAAGGGAAGCACACCAGTGTCTCTCAGAGCAGACAGTCCAGCACAACAGAGTTCATCACAAATCTGAAATGCAGTTTTATTTCATGAAGTAAAACTTAACCTCTACTTGTTCTCCTTCAGAGCAGGGCAGAGCCCCAAAAGGTCAGCACACAGGAGGCAAATGAAGAGCACGGGTGCTGGGGGGCACCCAGCAGGCCAAGGGACATCCACGGGTTCTGCACCGTGATGTCAGAGAGGCCACAGAACCAGGGAGGAGTGAGTGGGTGTACACACAGCAGTGTGCCAGAAAATACACAAAGCAAGCAAGCACCCTGACCTAAACTCATGGAGGAGGAAGTGTAGCACCCCCAGAAGGGGTGCAGTTCATTACAGACCGGCTACAGACACAGGAGGCTCCCGGTGATGGTCCCTCTCTAGTGACAAGGTCTGGACATAGACATGCCTCTACTACTGCTACAAGGTTTAGGCATCTGAGATAATGTCAACATAATTAATGAGATTCACTTTACATGTCTCAAATGCTGTACAAGCCTTAAAAAACATATTAAATGCTAAATTTTCCAAGTTTTGCAAAACTTCACTGTAACTATGTCACTTTCAAGACTTTAAACACTTTACATAAAACTCTCTAGGAGAAAAAGCCACCACAAATTTTTTTTTAGTAAATCAACCACCACAATAAAACTTCTTTTAGTAAATCAACACCAAGACCAACTGATGTTTCTTTGGTATTATACCAACTACAAAGACGCTTCTATCCACAAGTAACCTTAATACACAAGTAACCTTTATACATTACTGTCAGCTACATTCTGCGAGGGATATGGTACATTCCTGCATTATGCTTTAAAGTTTTATAGCCTCCTCGGTCTAATTCCAGGCCAGATTTAATCAGAGGTGTAACAACTCATTGTTTATTGCATCAGAATCCATAGCAGTGAAGATATTAATGAAATCACAAATATATCACATCACTATTGCACAAATGTTTAAACAGTCTTTACCCACATGAAGTGATTTACTAAAAGCCACTTAAAAGCAGATCCAAGTCTTAGGTTGGGCATAAGTGAGTCAGTAATGGCAAAAAAAGGAAACGAGAAGAGGGAACCAGTTGTCATTCCACTATCTGGTAACACGCAGTGGCCATTTTAAATAAAATCAGGATAAAATAGGACATTTTTTAAAACGCATCTGTTTTGACTCCATCCGACAAGATAAATCTCATCATTAAACAACACATGTGAATTAAGTTGTTACTCAAAATCTTATTTTCTCCTATTTTACAAACAATTTTGTTAATTTTAGTTAGAAATAAACCTCACTTCAAATACTTCTGAATTCACACACTTCCTGATCTTCATGATTATGGCAAAGAGAGAATGACTTATGCATGACAGAGGGCACTGTAATTCGGTTACTTCACACTCCATGGAGGGAAAAGGGGCACACAGGTCAGGGTACATTACAATCCTCTATGATCCTCACTTCTGGATGAATCTCAGAATATATTCCTGAAAGCGGCACAATGCGGGACAAGAATCTATCCAATTTGAACCACAAAAAGTGAACACCCATACCAGGCAACACAGCACTGCAGGGAGTCAACGTGGAAGTGACCCAAACCTACTGCAAATAAACATTTCAAACCCAGAATATCAACACTGACTCTGACTTAAATAAAGTCAAATCTATCTGTAGTATTTTTTAATTCTTAATTTTTTAATGTATATTATATTCTTATTGGTATAGCTATTTATTATTATTTCTATGGTGTTATCAACTTCACACACATGTTTAGCAGTCACTACTTACTTCGAGCAAGCACGCCTCCATCTTCTGTTATTTTCACGTCTGTTGAGTTAGGACAGGAAAAGCTGACACCACCACCCTCAACACATGAAAACAGATCAGTGGAGATAGCTTCTTACACAGACATACACACTTTCAATCAGGAATACTCACCCTACAGAAGTGGCCTGCTAGTACAATTAATGTGCACAAGCCACTCCTTGCAGCACAGCAAATTTCTATCAGGTGACAAGAAAAGGACCCTATCATATAATTTACTTTTGAGACTGGAAAAGCTGTGCAATTTGTCCAGCTCAAGAAGATGAGCTTCTTGATTCGCACTTTAGATAACAGGATGACAACAGTAGGGTGCAATTTGTGGAGACAACACTAAGTCTCACAGAGACATAGCTCATGAGCTGGAGACAATGGCACTACATGTCTGTATTCCAACACTTCTAAGCAGATTCTAACAGGAAATAAATATTGGCACTACCTAAAACTGATGCAGAGCCTGGAGTCCATCATGACCGCAGAGGCTGAAATAAAAGTATCTGAAGAACATCCAAATGAAAGAATTCTCTGTCATCAGTTTGCTAAGTGCCCACAAGAGACAATTCCACCAGATTCTGTCATCAAACTGAAACAAACGTTTCATCACTTCAGAGCTGACATTCCACAAACCTTTCTGTTCCGAGGAAAAAAAATTAAATTAAAAAAAATCATAGCATCCCAGACTGGTTTGGGTGGGAAGGGACCTCAAAGCCCGTGCAGTGCCACCCCCTGCCCCAGGCAGGGCCACCTTCCACCAGCCCAGGTTGCCCAAAGCCCCATCCAACCTGGCCCTGAACCCTTCCAGGGAGGGGGCAGCCACAGCTTCTCTGGGCAGCCTGTGCCAGGGCCTCACCCCCCTCACAGGGGAGAATTCCTTCCTTATGTCTAATCTAAATCTGCCCTCTGTCAGCTTAAAACTGTTACTCCTCGTCCTATCCCTCTCGCTGGATAAAGAGTCCCTCTCCAACTTTCCTTTGCACTTGGCGGTATTTTATACTGACTTGGGATAAATACCAGTTTTTAAAGATTTTCTTTTTCTGCATGATAGTTCATCTTAAACAGATTTAAAACATGTTTCCAGTTTCTGTGTAAAAAGTTAATCTTTCATTCCCCACAGAATTATTTTTTTAAATATCATGATTATGAAATTTTGATACTTGGTTCATCTGCATTAGATTCTGGTACTACTACATCTCACTATACAAAAGCAACGCTGGTAGCATTTTATTCTATTACCTATGTTTGAGAGGGCACTGACCAAACTATCTATAGCTACTTCTAATTTTTAAAACCATAAAGTATTATTCAATCTTTGCATACCAACAATAAATATAAGGTTTTTTAAATATATAGCAAAAATTCTTTTTTAGTGTAGCTCTGAAATAGCTAACTGAAACCCACATTAGAAATCCTATGCCAGTAGTAGTTCGAAAACCAGTAAGTGTTGCAGAAAATAAATTGCAAGTAAACAATTTCACCAGCATGCTTTTTGCAGAAATTACTATTTGGCTCTATCAGACAAAAACACCATTTCTAGGGATAACTGCAAAAATAATCAGAATATGAAGATGAAGTGTAGAGATTATTCGTAGTATTTCAGGTACCTGAAAGCCCATTTTATATTACTTTTTGTTGCCTGCATTCAAAAAGGTGTTAATCATTCTATTTCCTCTAAGTTTGAGCTACAAAATGGGCTTATGCCCAACTTATCCAGTCATTTGATAATCAAGTAATTTTGCAGTCTGAGCTAAACGGACAACGCACTGCTTCCCTGTTGGCAACTTTGTCAATACACCTGTTGCATTGCAGCTTACAATTAAGAAAACTCTGAATTAAACCCAGAATATGTGTAAGTAAGCTTCCTACAGAAAATCTCAATAAAGTAACTCAAATGAGGGGGGTACAACAGTGGGGCCTTAGAATGTGTTCCTTGACATGGCAGCATAATTTATGTTTAAGGACTCAGAAGAGTTAATTTTGCTCTGTTTTTGTCTGACAAACCTGATCATGCACTAGGGCTCCCACCACTATGAACATCAGGCCCCCAAACATTATTAAGAGAAACAGGACTAGTCAGTAATACGTTACCTGGCCACTACCTAGTCTAGCATTCTACGCCTCAGAGTAAGCACCATCATCTACTTTTGTGGTTATTCATATCCTGTTCTTCTATTCACCTAAGCTGAACAACTGGACTTTTTCAGGTTCTTTTCCTGAGAATCACTTGGTTATCTTCCCTGCTCCTATCTAAAACTTGTATCTGAAACAAGCATTCCTGAACATAACTACCCAGTGATACACTCCATGTTGTTTTGCTTATCAGTCATTAGGCATCTGAATTTTTTACTTGATGTCTATCAAGCTGATCTTTTCATTCAACTATGCACTACTACTTACGCACAAAACAGGACAGAGGTGAAGTACATTTAGAACTCATGAAGTATCAATGCACATTCGTATTATTACTCTTTTCCTCACCTACCACGAAGGGACAACAAAGGATAATGTCATTTTAGAAATTAAGGTACCAGAATGACCAGTGAAGTGCAGCAGCACAGCCTCTTTTGATACACTTCTTGAGCAGGTCTTTAAAGCAGCAAAACTTGAGGGCCAAAATAATACCACTGACACAAAGAATTGTTTTG